GCAGAGAGGAGCACCGAGCGGACTGACCGGAGCAATCCCCAGTCAATCTGCCTGGTGGCATTAATTGTCAAGTGTCAAAACGTAATCAATTAATGTTTTTCTGACAATTAATTGCACACGATACGATTATGCCTAATAAGACCTGTGAGTTTCACTTTGTCTGTGTTGTTCATGAAGAAGAATCCAATAAAGGTTCTTCAAAACTGCCACCTGGTGGTGAAGTCTTGAACTACAWCAWMAGCTACACCTCTSTCTGTAGCTGTGAGGTGTCATGCTTATGGTACGTTCACATCAAACGTGTTTTGAGCGGTAGATTCACATGCCAAGTCCGTGGAGGARGCGCCTCTAGGGGTTGTGCGTCGCGTCACGTACGTTTTGGGTGGCGCGGAAGAGGCGCCYAGCGTTTTATGTGCATGTGGTGCAGCGGAAGCAGCCGCAGCCTGAGTTCAAATATCTGAACTTTTCGCCGCTCGACTTGTCTRCCACTGAAAACCGAAACAGACAGACTGGAGATCTTTACCTGAAATCGACCGTGTGCAGTTGGATTTTCGGTCAGGATATATCGGATCAGCTGCTCCGGACAAAAAAAAAGTCTGTCAGCTGGCAGCTTCTGGCGTGATGAAACTAACTGAACAAATCGCCTCTAAATCATCTGGTGAGTTAATTATRTGCTGTGCGCAACGTTCGCTTGCTTTTTAGTAAATAAATCAAAGCRATTTTCTTTTATTTTATCTTTATTCACCCGCCGAGGACACGCTCCTCCCACTCCTCGCTGCTGCCGCTGCTTGTTCTGGTCTGAACACTTGTGCGTTCTTCAGTCTGAGCATAGTGCATCCAACGAGAGGCGTTTTGTGCTTTTTGGACGCTTAAAACGCGTTCGGTGTGAAAGTAGCATTAGAGAAGGGATAAATGGCTCTTTGAAGGGATCTGGATCTTGGGGAGCCGTTTGCTACATAGAGCCATTCAAAAGAGCCGTTCGATTTTGAATGTATTATGTCATCACGTAGTGAAATACGTCATCA